TCTATCATTGTGATATAGTGTTTCTAAATTGTTGTTCTTCGTTTAATAATATACAGATTTTCATATTTGGTATGCATTGACACGTCTATTTTCCATAATTTCTTTCTCACTAAATAAATGAGAGTAAGAACATAAATGAGAGATCAAAATATTCTAAAATACACGTTGAATGACTAATAAGTTACATTGATAAAATATTTTTCTAAGAAAGAAACTCAACGCTAAATATTCGTTCCATTGAAAATAAGTAATCGGAAATAAAATATGGAAATAGTGGTGAAAAATTTCTTCCAATTTAAATAAATTTCAATATTTATATTACTCTAATATAAATATAAATAGTGTAAAGATCATAAAAGTGTGAAAATATACGCAACTTACTATAAACCGGTTCAAATAAAACATGAAAGGCCGAAACGAAGAATTAATTCGCTTCAAATATGCATTCGGCTCAACAGATATAAAAGCCATACTTGTAACTCAAAATGATGAAAATAAAAGTAAAAAAAAAAAAAATTTGGAATTTTCACAGAAACTAATCACAATCTGTTGAAAACACTTCTCCTCTACCTTGTTTGTTCCTTCACAACAATAATGCGATAAGATGAGTTCAAGAGAAATAAGTGTTTATTGCATCGGATAGACAATAGATGTGACTCGTATTGATAAAATGGTAATTGATGGCAGAGGGGATGATTGACCTTTGGATACAGTAAAAAGAGATTACGTAAACGACGATGGTTTATATATTAGAGACACGAGTATTTTGCAACGTAGACCGACTACTATGATGGCCGCGATCGTGTTATTGTTGGCACTGCTCACGTTGGCAGCGGGTGAAATTGCTCACAATGACCCACATTTTGCTCCTGGCCACGATGCTATCGTCCATCTCTTCGAATGGAAATGGGACGACGTTGCAAAAGAGTGCGAACAATTCCTTGGACCTTCAGGCTTTGGTGGAGTCCAGGTATGTGATAAAATTTTTAAACTTAATTAATTCTTAATATTTTTATTTTTAAATTCAAAACGTTACTCAATTAAAAATATAATAATCTATACAATTACAGTTGTGCGTAACAATTAATGAACAATACGTGATATTCATTGAAGAGATATCTTATGAAGGCTCTTTAGAAATTTCAAATTTACAGGAATATAAATTTTTTCGTTTAAATTAATTCACCTTAAACAAACTTGTAGAAAATAACGTGTGTTAAACATTTACAAAGAGCTTGCATCAGATTTTTATCAAGATGTCAATAACAATTAAAATCCTATATCAGAGATCATAAAGTCCATTATCTTTCGATCTTTATAATTAATTTATCTATTTACAACTGCTAAATGATTATCGATGAAGTACTTTTCTCACGTATATTTGCAAAAATAATTTCTATAATTTTTAACTAACCTCTGTGCAACAAACAAATATCCATCTATGCTTTTATCAATTATCGATCCAAAACTCGTCTGTGCGTGTATCTCAACGGATCTCTCTTTCTCTCTCACTAATCAATATAAATTCAAAAAAAACCTGCTCACTCACCAAATTTGTTCCATTCAAACAAATCAAAGATAGAATCATCGTATCAAAATATTTGTACAGGTATCACCAGTACAAGAGAACATAGTGATTGACAAGAGGCCATGGTGGGAACGTTATCAACCAATTTCCTACAAATGGGTCACTCGATCGGGCACGCGACAACAATTCATCGACATGGTAGCGAGATGTAACAAGGCGGGTGTGAGGATCTACGTGGACGTTATCATGAACCATATGTCCGGCGATCGGAACGACGCACACGGGACAGGAAATTCGAGGGCGAACACGTACAATTTCGACTATCCCCAGGTGCCCTACACCGCGAAAAATTTCCACGCTCGTTGCGCGGTGAATAATTACAACGACCCGTCAAACGTGAGGAACTGCGAATTGGTGGGTCTCCACGACTTGGATCAGAGCCAAGAGCATGTCAGGTCGAAGCTTGTGGACTTTCTGAACGATCTGGTCGGCGTCGGTGTTGCCGGTTTCCGGTTCGTGTTCACCATTGCATTGCACGATGGTTAATAATATTGGTGGATCGGTAACGACAGGTGTTACAGAAGAGAACTTCTTCAACCTGTTTCAGAGTGGATGCTGCGAAACACATGTGGCCGAACGACTTGAGAACAATTTACTCGAGAGCGAGGAACTTGAACACGACCCACGGCTTCCCCGAGAATGCACGGCCGTACATATTCCAAGAGGTGATCGATTACGGGAACGAGGCGATCTCGAAACGGGAGTACAACGAAATGGCGGCGGTGATCGAGTTCAAGTATTCGTATGAGATTTCCAATGCGTTTCGGGGGAACAATAATTTGAAATGGTTGGTGAATTGGGGAGAGAAATGGGGCTTTCTACCATCGAAGGATTCTCTCGTTTTCGTCGACAATCACGACACGCAACGAGACAATCCTCAAATACTCACTTACAAATACCCCAAACGGTACAAGGTATACCAACCTTTTTTCCATATTTTACTTTCTCTTTTTTTTTAGAAACAATTTATTGCTAAATATTTATTATCTCGTTATTTTTCGATTTTGTTCGATTAAAAAATAGGATATTTTTACGGTAGAGCAGTAGATATTTATCAGGGAATACGGTGATGGATAGAGTGAAAGTTAGCAAGTAGAATAGGTCAGCCAATGATCAGACTCAAATATTTCTTTCGATGCCACGTTAAATATCAATTGATTAAAATTTTTTCCACGATTAATTTTTTAACCAACCGATAAAATTCTTATATATATATACTTTTTATTTATCTTCTTCTCCCACTCTTATTTTCGAAAGGAAGCTATTTTAAATATTTCGAACGAAATATAATCTTTTAGATGGCCGTCGCGTTCATGCTGTCCCACCCATTCGGCACCCCACGAATAATGAGCTCGTTCGACTTCCAAAGCAAGGATCAAGGGCCGCCCAATGACGGCAAGGAAAACATTCTATCGCCCTCGATCCACGACAACATTTGCAGCAACGGATGGATCTGTGAACACCGTTGGAGGCAAATCTACAACATGGTTCGTTTCCGCAATCTGGTCAAGGGAACGAGGATCGATAATTGGTGGGATAACGGAAGCAATCAGATCGCATTCTCGCGGGGTTGTTCCGGATTTGTCGCGTTCAACGGCGATCAATACGATCTGAGGCGAACTCTCAAAGTCTGTCTACCTGCTGGCCGCTATTGCGACGTGATTTCTGGCAATTTGGAGAAGGGAAGGTGCACTGGCAAGGTTGTCACGGTGCAATCGGATGGAAACGCTGAGATAGAGATCGGTGCAGGGGAGGAGGATGGAGTTCTCGCCATTCACGTTGAGGTGAGTTCGTTTGAGATTAAGAGGATAAGAATAAATGAGAGAGATTTTTGTCTTGTATAAGTTCTTATATAAGTAGAGGGGAAAGTAAAAGTTTATTGAGATTTATAATAATCTCTCATGGATTATTTTGGTTTAATTGTACTTTGTACTGTCTCAACGTTAATTCGTAAATTATTGTAATAAAGTAACGCTTGAAATTAATTTTATCTTCAGGCTAAAATGGCGTAAAGGAACGTAAATGAGCATCAGCAGGGATTGCGATTGCACGAAAAAGGACGTCTTAAAGTTCATCTTACAATGAAAAAAATTTAATTCTTCGTGGATAAAAATAATTATTAAATGTATATAGTTTACGTATATTTTTATTTCCATCGGTTTTACGCAATCACAATTGTTTTCGTAATCCAGGGTCAGTAACAAAAATAAGGCCACCAGTGAAAATATTTTTCAACAATGTTTATTTTAACAGAAACAATGTACTGTTCTTGTTCTCTTTTCACCATTAATTTCTACTATACATAATAAGATAGTTAATCGGTAGAATAATACAAGACAGACTCGCGATGAGGGGAAATAAAAAAAGGGGATGATGTCGAAAGGATATTTTTTTCTTCTTCTTCAACATTTTCATTCAAGGATGGACGAATTTATGAATGGACGCAGGTGTAAATCACAAGAAGGAAACGAAGGATGGAGAAATGGGTGGAAAATAAAAATCATCGAAGTTATCACAAGATTGCCTTATTGCCCGTTTCTTTATCCCTCTTTTTCTCCAAAATTCGTCGTCGTCCCTTTCTGTACAATTATTATTCTCATTTTTTTTTTCTTTCTTTTCTTTGTTTTAAATAATTTCCATCACACCAGAATTTACGAATTTTTCCTTTCACTCTATTCTCCTCTGTTGTTGTT